TAAGCCATATCGATTCTATGCTACACTTGGTGAAGATGAATACATGGAGGCGCACTTTGTCTGATAAAACAAAATGACAGGAAATCCCTCAATTGTATACGTATTTATGGAAAGCTAAATTCTGATTGTAAAAACAAGTTCAATAGCTCAGCGCACTTTCACTCATCAATATTCCCATCTTCATCATTTCAACTTTGGATTGCGCATCGTATAATGTAAAGAAAGTGCTGGTACCTAAATTCCTAAAACGAATCCCTTCTAACAGGCAATTTAAAATTTGAATCCCCTACAACAGTTACGAGAACCATATTCCATTTAAAAATGTTACCATTCCAGCCCCATAGTCTACGAAAATATGAATATATGCCCATAAATCAATTCAACCCGACGGCCGTGATTCAATAATTGTCTGTGGTTCCAGATAGGTGTCGCCGGTATAATGCTTCGTTTTTCCAGGGTGACGGAATAGTTTTATCAAGTCTGTAATAAAATTACCCAGAAATAATGATACGGGTAACAGCTTAAATAAAAAATTCCCAAAAAGTATACATAGAACAGAAAATCTAACCCAACAACCTGACGAAGAATCAATAAAATCCCGGCGACACCTATGTAGAAGCAACGAGAATTACATTTAATCATGGATGCAGGCTGTTGAACTTGGAATGATTTGCATATGTTAGCAGAAATGACTTATTCACATTACTGTATTGTTGTATATCGGGTAGGTTTGTGGTTTTTTGTGAAGTAGAGATTTTAAATATTAAAGATGATAGCATTTCAAAATTTTCTATTTGGATGCCAGGACACTATTTTTTATATTTTTTTTTTTACGAAAGATGACTACTCAAGTACTTTGGCTTGATTCTTTGGCATTTTTCCTCAGTGTTCTTCAATTTTTTTTATTCTCTATACAAACCTCAGGGAGAACACTGGGTAAGGGCTTTTGACGAAGGTCCAGAATTCCGTCTCCGTCAGTGACGATAAACCCACTTTCGTCGCATTGGTAGTGAGGAACACATTCATAGCCTTCACCACAGACTCCCAGAGGAGCAATCGGGTCAATCACTACATTCCCAGGACCTGGAAAGAGGAAAAAAGATGTTTTCGAAATCAAACTTGTCACTTTTTGTTGTGGGAAAAAATTAAAGAGTCTTACTGGGAATCGGTTTGATGGGGACGATGTCAAACCGTGTGCCACTCTGCTCTTGGTCAATTTCTTTGGAGTCATCATGGACAATCGGGATTTCCTGCTTATTTTGAGGAATTGGTTCAACCGTTGGATTCTTTGAATTCTTGCTTGCATCGTGGACTTCAGGAATGTGTTGCGCGAGGGGTAGTTTTTGGTTAACCTCGGGTTGGTTTACTGAGGATTGACTATTGTGTTCTTTTTCGTGGTCTCCAGCAGCAGGAAAGGGCTTAATAAAAGGTTTTTTGAGTTCCTGAGATTGTATTTTAATTTCAGTCTCATTATTTCCAGAGGGTGACTTGAAGACAATGACTGGTTCTTTGTCGTGATGTTTGTTCTTTTCTTCCTCGGGAATATGTGGCTTGGTGTTGACCCCATCAGCTTCAGGAGCAGATGGTTTCTGGTTTTTGGAATCCACTTCACTGCTGGAAACTGGCTCTTTTTCGTATTTATTCTTTTGGTTTTCAGGAATGTGTTCGATGAAGCCAAAACTCACATGGGGAACGCCGAACGAAAAGAAAAGACGGCTAAGTAGTCGTCACCTTAGTACATGCCCAAAGTTAAGCTAGCTACCAAACAGAAAACTGTGGCTTCAACAAAGACCTAAAAGAATTCCGATTGCTGGCTCATCTGAGACTGGAGATTTATCTCCAGCAGTAAACTTGTCTTTAGATGGCTCAGGTTTGATTTCAAATAGAGCTGGTTTCGTCTGTGGTCCAAGTGGTTGCTTCTGGGGAGAAGGTTGTGAAGATGATGGTGATGGTGAGACTGCAGGAGCGACATCTTGACCCTTTGACGGCAGCACTGCGGGTTTGGTTTCTGGTTTGTTCTCTTCAGCAGCAGTTTCATCTCGGTTCTTCGTTGGTAACACTGCGGGTTTGGTTTCTGGTTTTTTCTCGTCAAAATTTGCATCCGGGTTCTTCGTTGGTAACACTGCGGGTTTGGTTTCGGGTTTTATCGCACCTGAAACCTCTTCTTGGCTCTTTGTTGGCAAGACTGCCGGTTTTTTCTGAGGTTGCCCGAGGGGAGGGAAATCCTCTTCTGTGAATAACCCTGGTTTAACCTGTGGCCCTGAGGGTTTGATGAGTGGTTGACCAGAACCTTCCTGTTGATGGGTAGCTGCTTGGAATTCTTTCTTCTCTTCCTTGATTTCGGAAACTTGGATCGTGGGATGTGTGACTTTCTGATTTGTTTCTGGAGTTTCCTTGGCAATATTACGTACACTACGACCGACAACCTTCACGACCAGTAAGTGCACAAAGAGGAAACAGCGTCTAAGATTAACACGTCCTAAGAGTTGTTGTCGAAGTACTACTACCACTAGCGCTTCCTAAAGTGAAAGCACTTTCGGAACCGAATGAAGTTCTTTTTTAAATCCATGTGCTGTAATATAAGGCGCATCAAATAAACACATTTTTTTTTCAACGGAGACTCAACAAGAAAGAGGAGAGAACAGGAGTTTTGAATCATGCAACGTCCAATTATCCCATAGAGACAAAAAAAATAAATAAAGAGATAGCAAATATGAAGAAATTGGACAGAAAAATAAGAACAATTCAGCATTTATTAGCGTACTTCGCGAGAAACGAGCATATGTGCATCCTCGAAATGCCGTCACTCATAAAATTGACTTTAAAAGCGTTTTCAGGATCTTATAAAAACAAATGCCCGGATTGATCGAAAAAAAAAGCACCAGACCTTATATTCCAGATGGTCAATTGTTTCACGGTCGGAAAGAAAGATCAGAAGATGCATCAATCTTTTCTCATGCAAATCAATCGTCTCATTTGACAATGAAAGCAGAATTCGCGTTTTTCAGCGTTTAGAAAATACCTTGATGATCCTCCTGTGGTTCGTCATTATTCGGAGCCACTCTGTCGGCCAAAGCAGCTTCATCATCTGCTAATGAAAAAAAAATGAAAAACACACCGGCTAAGTTTCCTTTTCATGTTTGATCATAACTCGATGAACTTCGCATTTTTTGCGATGGAAAATGGACAGGTAAAGAAGAAGTATTTACCGTCTTTCTTCAAGACAGCCGCAACATCCCGCTTACCCTTCATCCCTGGCCCAGTCATCATCATGCCGCCGGGCCATGGGTCAACATAGTCGGGATCTCTGCAGCAAACACCTATAATGCCTGTATCAGGGTTTGTGCAATCCTGAAACGAACAATAATCGAAATAATGAAGCATGCGCGTTTTCAACTTCCTTCAAGCATGAAATCATGATTCATTTAGAAATATTATCCAAAATACAGCTCAAACTCTTGGTCAAAAACCTCATCCCAATATACTGGAATTTTTAGAAAATCCCTGGCCAATAAATTTCAAGCCTCACTAACTCAAAAAGTGTGGACTCTAATCTCCCTTAGTGCGGTTTTCGATTGTCCGTGTGTTATTATTGAACTATAGGGTTATATTTTGAAACACCTGAGAACAAATGAGAATTTTATTTTAATTTTTTCCACAAGGGCTTTGGTAATTTCCTGCATTGAGTAAATTCCAGAGGATGGTGGAATTTTTTTTTCACAATTATCCCAGAAAGGGTTTTAAATGGCTAATCCACACAAACCAGTCCAAATCACAAACTCAAAAACTCCTTAAGATGATTTTTCTGGAGTCCATTCAACTTTAACTTATAGAAAGATTCAACTACTTTATATCCCAAAAGCAGAACCTCAATATTACCCTAACCACAAATGGCTGATGTTCAAATAAATTGAAACAATTTATCAATCGAGATTATTCCTGGTTTTCAAGTTGATCATGTTCTTTCTTATTTCATTATAATTTATTGTTCAACAGTGTATGTATATGGAAGGGGATCAAACTAGTATTACACATATACATATTAGGTCTAGTTCTGAGCACATGTGAATTATTAACTGGTGGATTCAATCTGAAGTTGAAGAAAATCCCAAAAAATGAAAATTAAACATAGAAATACTTTTAACATTTTGGAGCTGAAATTGAAGCATCATTTGAATTGCCTTTGCCATTTTTTATGAATATTTCAAGGATCAAACTCACCATGACAGCAACCCTGTATGTATTTTGGGCATCAATTGGATCGGGGAAAGGGATTTTGTAACCAGTGGCATTGCAGAGATTGTTTTCAACACAAAGCAAACCAGCAGAGCATCCAGCAAAGGGCACTGGAGCAGCAGTGGGTCCAGTGTATGGCTTAAAGTTTGCGTTGATGGAATTCTGATTGCCACCAGCGGAAGGAAAGGGCTGTCTAGCAATGTTGGGCGGCTGAACAGGCCTGTAAATAAAAAAAATACAATGTTATTCATATGCATATATACACAACGCACCTGATGAGTTTAATGCACATCTTTTTTTATCAAACAGAAGTTTTTTTTACTCTTAAAACTGTATTTTTCCAACCCTTTTATGGCATTGGGCAGTTGTCCATTCAACAGCAGTGCATCATGGGCAGTTTCTTTTAAACTAGTGCACTTTAGTTTATCTAAAGGGTCTCAAAACTGAAACTGACTAACATGGAGATGATAGTCTGGAAATCTCCAGATAAGTCAAATAAGATGAATTTAGAATTCCAGGGTTTTTCAATAAATTAATCATAGCCAAAGGTTTAGAAAACCAAAACGGCCATGGGAAAGCTTATTTTCTTTGCTTGTCCAGAAATTTTTTATGCAAAACGAAAGAATACCAATACTGTACTTCAGTACTTGGACTTCATGCGCCAGATCATCTTCTTTCAATTTTGAAATTTCTGAGATGCAACTTTTCAAAAAAAATTCTTGGTTCTGCTGGGGAAGGGTTAAAGAAATTGGATAATTATTATGCATGAAAAAAATAGATATGATGTCAAATGCTCAAAGGCAGGTGTATATTACTAAAGTTAACCTTCTGATGGAAATCATGAAATTGTCAACACTACTCACCTTGCTGGTTGAACCTGAGGTCTCTGTTGCCCACATCCAGGGGCTCCAGGACTGCAACCCCCTGGTCTTGCTGGGAAAGGTTGCTGTCCACCAATGCCGGGACTGGGTTTAGGCTGAGGTTGATATGTTTGTTGTCCTTGTCCTCCACAAGGATTGCCAGGTCCACCACATCCTCCTGACTGGGAAATTTGCTGTGGTTGTTGAGGTTGGTACACTTGAGGTTGTTGGCCACCACATGATCCACCAGAGCAACCACTTGGAGATGATGGGCCAACTTGTGGTCTAGGTGGTTGAACTTGGGGTCGCTGACCTCCACAAGACCCTCCAGTGCATCCACTTGGTACTGGGACTTGTGGTCTAGGTTGTGCACCTGGGTATACTTGAGGTTGCTGGCCACCACATGATCCACCAGTGCAACCACTTGGTGCAGAGCTTCCTGGGTTGAATTGCTGTTGAGGTTGGTACACTTGAGGTTGCTGTCCTCCACATGATCCACCAGCACAACCACTTGGTGCAGAACTTCCTGAGTTGAACTGCTGTTGAGGTTGTTGAGTTGGTACACTTGAGGTTTCTGACCACCACATGATCCACCAGCACAACCACTTGGTGCAGAACTTCCTGGGTTGAACTGCTGTTGAGATTGTTGAGGTTGGTACACTTGAGGCTTCTGACCACCACATGATCCACCAGCACAACCACTTGGTGCAAAACTTCCTGGGTTAAACTGCTGTTGAGGTTGGTACACTTGAGATTGCTGACCTCCACATGATCCACCAGCACAACCACTTGGTGCAGAACTTCCTGGGTTGAACTGCTGTTGAGGTTGTTGAGGTTGGTACACTTGAGGTTTCTGGCCACCACATGATCCACCAGCACAACCACTTGGTGCAGAACTTCCTGGGTTGAACTGCTGTTGAGGTTGTTGAGGCTGATACACCTGAGGTTGCTGTCCACCACATGCTCCATTGCTGCATCCAGGGGATGTCTGTGATGGGTAATTTGGCAAACCTTGACTGGGAGGTTGGAAACCTGGATTACTTGGCTGTTGTGAGCACCCAGGATTTCCAGGGCCACATCCACTTCCTTGTGCAGGTTTCTTCACGTAGGGTTTGGAAGATATAAGTAGGGCACCACCTCCACCACCTGCTGGCCTTGACGGCTGAGGAGCGCCAAATTGCTGTTGTGGCTGCTGTTGTTGGAAAGGTTGCTGAAGAACCTGCTGTTGCCCATTGCATCCATTCCCTCCACCACAGCCAGAGCTTTGTGGTGCAGCAGGTTGGTACTGTTGGTTGCTGGATCCACATCCTCCATTACCACATCCTTGCTGTGGTTGGCTATTCCCACTGAACTGCTGGTTACTGGCTGATGGACTGTATTGACTGTCTGATTTGCAGCATACTTGGTTGTTGCCACAAGGACTGCCAAGAGCATTTATATTCTGAAATTTAAAATTTAAATGCTTAATTTCTTTTCAATTAAATGATAAATCCCATTTCAAAAGTTTCCAGGGGACTTTGATAGCATTTCTCATAGTCGACTTATTTGAACTCATAACATGCAAATGCAGTATCATTAATCAATGAAAATTTAACCCGAAATTGAAAGGAATACATGCACATTTAATAATTTTATTATGAATGGGACTTCAGTTCAAACCAAGAGCAGACAGAGTTTTTAAAGCTAAAAGCAGATTTTGCATATTTTAAGACACACAAGTATTCATGTGCCTTCTTTGTCGATTGTCCTCTTTGCACTGAAGTCAAAACAAATTACTGTACAGTACTGTTCTGTACTGTATTTCCATATTCTTTTCATGTTTTATTCCTAATTTTCTTACTAAATCATTCAGCCAATCCATGCCATGTAAGATTTTACGAGACACTATACCCAAGAGTACTTTCATTTCCTGACAGCTTTACTTGTTACTAAATACGTAAATTAGTTATTGATAGTCCACTATTAATTTAATGCACAAGAAAGAGTGACACCCTTTCATATAGTGCCAAAAATGTTTCCCTTAAACGGATCCTTGAACAAATATTTCTGGTCTATGTTAATCTTCATAATAGATCAGAGTGTCAACTCCATTAGTACCATAAAATGGTATGGGGTGGATCATATGGTGTTGGGCACAGATGTCGCACACAAACGTTGGCTGCATTCCACACTCAACCATGACGAGGAGTCATGCTCACTAATAATTGAGAAATCATCAAACAATATGGGATATTTAACTGTCCAACATACAAGTACATTGTATTATTCGTTTCAAAAACGAACAGCTATTGTTTGCTAATAGGATTCATCGCAATAAACATAAAATACAGTAGTATAAAATACGGATTAAAAAAACGCATAAATTAGTATGTTTCGAGACGAACCTTGTTGGGCTTTCCCCGCAAGTCAATTTGCCCGGCACTTCCGTGTGGTACCACGATACCATTGTCGCAGCGATCGTAAGAGACGCATTCGTAGCCCGGATTGCAGGTGTTCTGGAACTGCTGCTGCTGTTGCTGCTGAGGATAATTCCCTGATGGCTGATGAGAACCACCGGATCCATGATCAGGATTGCTGAACGGTTTCGAGTCTTGCCACCAGTACGGGGATCCTCCAGAACCAGAGCCGCCAGTGGCAGAAAGCTTCCTGGCGCAACCACCGCCGGCACACCGTGCGCCGCCGCCGCCGCCGCCGCCGCCCTTGGCGCTCCAGCCAGCGAATGCCGGAGTGAGCAAGCTGTTCAGCGCGATCAGCGAGATCGCGAACAAAGGGAATCTGAGCATCTTGATGCCAAGTGCAAAAATTTCCCTCTGCAAAAGTATTTGAAAGCCACTATGAATGAATGTTTGGAGATGGGAAAAATTGCTGTGAACTGGGCTTATATATACATGCACTGTACTCTTAAGCGTGTCGGGAAGCACCTCAGGACTGACACAAAGTCCACAATAAAGTACCGCAAATCGTAAATAAACTTGTATCACAAAAATATTTCGATAATTAATATCAACAATAAAACGACAGAGGATTATTATTATGGTATTCTATCGTTCATATACAGTATAATAATTTCATGCAACCGAAGTGCGGACAAGAAAACATTAGACTGATTTTTAAATGCTTCAGTATAATAATTTTTCTTGGAAGGTTATTGACGGAGTGAAATTCGAACTACCGAATTGGATAACATCTTTTTTTTTTTTCAAAAATGCGTATCTCATGTTTTCAATCTTTGTAATGTGATCACGCGGCTTGGAATGAAATATAGGTGATACAAAAAGTTGTCTTGTGATTTCCTTCGAAGATTAAACGGGTTCCTGCCGTGTATCTGAGGTTCAAAATGCAGTAAATTGCGAATATATAGTCAAATTATTCTCGCATCAGGAATCCACCATCGATTAAAGCTTAATTTTTCTTGATTTTTTCTAAGTTTCCGGTAAAATGTTGACGGATTGGCAAAAATAAAAAGGAAGTTTTCAAAAGCGGTCGAATGAAAATTTTTTTTTCTTTCAAACTTTGAAAGCTGAACCTTTTTTTTTTTTGCACTGGCCTGCATGAAAAATTTTAAGGTGATCAACCTAACTGGGATGTACTGCATCATCAAGACATTTGGCGAAACCGTTTTGAACAGATGCCACTTTTTGCACGGTATCTTAGACATTATTTTCCCAAAAAGCTGGCTTTTATTCGTAAATTTTTATTTTTTATTTTACTTTCAAGTCAAGAAGAGAAGAAATTTCCTCATCAACAAAAGCCAGGAAACTGCCGAACAGGTGCGAGATGAGCCACAGCGAAGTGAATAACGGTGACCGAGAAAAACGGAACACGAAATTATTAATAATTTCCTAAAATACACAATGCTTTTTAATTGATTCAGTTAATAACACAATTCCACTGCGTCTGCTTCCCTATCTAGAATAACACTGCTGATTCATGCATTATCACGAGAATTCGAAAGTACTCAATAACTCGACCAAGAAAAAATTTTCGATTCTCGGAATGTGAAATTCAAATAAATCTGCAACGCGCTTTTCTCCGAATTCATAAATCTTACAATTGATGACAAACGGTGCCTCAGCTCCGCGTGTACGCCAGTGTTTCTCATTATGACAATGTATCGTACTCGAAATTTATCAAGGATTGGAACCGACTCAATAAATTGATCAAGCTGATAGGCAACAATCGGAGCAGAAGGCTATTGAACCGAACTGTCAATGGCCTAATGAAGCCACTGGAAAATCAGGTTCATCACTGAACTGTTATTTACAACGCTCATAAAAACCGGTTCAGCCGAGATGTCGGATGACTCGGGTCATCGATGATTGCTTTTGAGATCATTAACTGCAAAACGACTATAAACCGTCACTGAACTGGTTTCAGTCACTTTTTACACTTTCTGTACGCAATTCAGTGAGCCACGGAGTATTTTTGGAAATCTTAGCAGGACATTCATGGGCATTTTCAGTCGTCAGACATTTTTTAATTAAGCCATAATTTTTACCATCTGCTCATAATGCCTTTAAAAATTTACTCCGAAGAAGTGGGGCACATGGAAACATAAGGAGATGAATAAATACTTCCCAGAATATAAATATAGCATATTAAAATTAGATGGAAGCTTCGGAACAGGGGCGAAATGAAAATCAACCGATCATCTAAAAATAATCATCACGTGGCTGAATATTTTCACAATTATCTTCTGGTTGTTGCGAAGAATACTTGAGCTCTGTGGCTCTGAAAATGTTCTTAACCGCAATCAGGCACTATTTTTTTTTACTTTAATCACTAATTAACCCTTCCAAAAATAAGGTATGCTCAACTGTAGCAGAACACAATGTGGTTCAGTCACATGGTTCAAATTTTATGAAATATCTTGGAGATTTCTCAAGTCTTACACAAAAGGTTCTCCCAGTTAATTTCTACAGCTTAAGTTCAATCAGTCGGAGAGAAGTCGTTTTATCAATTATCATGCTTTCAATTTTATTTTCTCAATTTCCAAATCGGAATTTCTGTGCACAAAGCTTACCTATGCTGTAACTTCCACAGTTTCTGATTATTTCATGATATGCTATCCCTAGAATTTTTTATTTTCGTTTGTTGGACAAGCAACTTATATACAAATTCTGCGCGGAAAAAATCCATAACACACGCAAAAAAATATTTCGCAATAATTAAAATAGTTCCGGGTGAAGAACGTATTTTCAAAATCGAATTTGGACATGAACTCTGCACTTTAACCACAGTTGGGGCTTTGAATTTTCTCGCCACTCACTGCTGAGCAATCAAATCATTTTAAAAGTCTTTGACAATGTCACACAGAAACACCCCGCAGATAGATTTGTCTGGTAAACTGCTAAATAAATCGTTAAGGCCGCGTACAATGTGGACAACCTCATCAAGAAACACCGATCAATTTCAATCCTTAAAATCCTCCTGTCCATGATTCACGGTTTTTTTTTCTTTCTGGGGAAGCACTGTAATGGTATTTATTCAAATATCTATAATGGACTTTAGCTGAAAGAAAGCATAGAAATTGTGGACGAGTGCCCTTTTCTAATGTTGAACGCAGCATCATGAGCCGAGTTCAACGTCGGTCACCGCCAAGCCACGAGTGCCCTGGAGCCAAGCCCACTAGGCACTATTTATACTCAATCTCTGCCCTGTTCGCAAAAGGCAACCAGAACAACAACACAAAGCAAAACAAACAAAAAAAGCATCTGAGGAGATTCCTTACCTGGAAAGCCATTCCGGGGAAAGAACAGATGAGAAAATGACGCCGGGAATAGGTGAAGGGAAAGGGCACTTTATTTTCACACAGTGGGGAAAATTGCTGAAGGTTTCTTCCATTTTTCTCAGAAAAAAAAGAAGCTCATGAACACTGGGGGATGAGATTATCGTGAAGCGGAAGTGATCAAGAATTTTTCAAGTCCAGGGACGCGCCCTTTTCTATGAGTGCAATTTATTTTGTTTTGTTTTTTCAGTCGCAGGGAACTTTTGCTTTCGATACTAGAATATTTGAATAAGGTCACTATATGATTCATGAGACAAAGGATATCCGGAAGATGGTTCAAAAGATTCGAACTTTTATCAATTTTCAGAAATTTCCGGTAGCAAAATAAAGATCAGAATTTTTAGCAATACTAAATTACGAAACTCGCATCACTGAAACCAGATATTAGCCATCAAATACAGCAAAAATAATTGCGCAATGAATTGATTTTGCCTATTTTGTGATGATTCACATTTTCTCGGGGTTTCCGAACGGATGAGTCAAAGCTTTGAAAAGATGAATAAAAGTATTGCGCGAATAAATAAAAGGTTTATTTGAAATTTTTGCAGTTTCCTTTTTACTCAAGGATGGAAATTAATTTGTCCTTTCATTTTATGAAAATTCTTTCTCCTAACTTAAATGTTTGCTTTTGTGCTTCTATAGCTTCCTGTAATCATTATAAATAATGTTAAGTGCCCAGGGCCGGATTAAAACATATTTTGGCCTGATGCTGCACAAAAAATGGGCCTAATTTTCCTCAGCAAAAAGGAATTTTCCTCACACAATTAAAAATAGCAGAGAACAAAGGATATCTGAGGCTAGAATCCAATCACACATACATACGGTAGAATTCCACCTGAATGAATCTCATTACAATACACTTTTTGAATTATGCATTTTTCTTGGTCCTGGCAGCTTCTCTGTATAGGCACCATGTTATGGAAATCTCACTGTAATGAACTCATTCAGGCTGTTGTCTAGTTATAACAAAAGGTTGGGCTTGATTCTGTGCATAGACTGTAGAAATTATTTCATAAATGGTGGAAGGAATAAGAAAAAATATGAAAATGTGCAACATTCCAATTTATTGAAAGACTAAAGATTTTTGTAGAGAAGGTTTGGTGTTCAAAAAAATGCACATCCTTAAAAAAAACCTTGCAGTATTCACATTATAATGCAGTGAGGGGCTCCACAAAAAAGCAAAGAGAAATAGAATTCAGCAACTTGGAAATCTCTGTAAATTTTTATATTGAAAATTATGAAAACTGGCAAGATTGAAAGATAAAGACATATTTTCCCAACAAAAGATACACAGGGATATTTAAAAAATAAAAAACTCAGTTTGTCACACCCCTGCTCCTAGAAGTCATCATAGAAAATATGGCTTGGACAAGATCCGCTTGGCCTGGTGCACAGTAGACATTTTCAGGGGGGGAGATCTTCCTGTTTCACAGGATGCAAGGTGAAAAGGGGTTTTCAGGGGGGGGGTGTTCAAAAAGCATGTCTGTAAAATATTTCTGATGCTTCCTGTTTGCAAATGAACTGTAGGAAAATTCCTTCTGCTCCTGCTGTTGCTTTCTCACACAACTTTCTAC